GGGGGATCTGTCCCGCCTCCAGTGACCAAAGGATCAATTAGCACGTGGAAGCAGCGCTATAGGTTGTGACCCCCCTCTGCCATCGATGTCGACTGTGCAACAGCTGACGATGCCTAGCAGAAGAAAGCAACGCTGAGGTTTGTGTTGCTTCAACATCAACGTCTGCTGTAACCTCTTGATCTTGTACGCTGAAGGCCATTTCATTCATCGTCAATCTTATCGCCAAATTCGATTGTCTGCAATTATTCCCATTATCAACGGGTGCAAGAGTATTCCCAGATAAATAGAGGCTGGTGTGTGTAGCTCCACGTTCGTTAATTAATTATTGTCTTCCATCGTACCACCTTTAATCAGTGTTGAGTAACGAGCTCGGATAGTTTACTTAACCCTGAAGCACACTGCTTATACAAAAATAAGATTTGGATTCAGGAAATGTCCAAATGTAATGAGCTCAAGATTCTGATGCAGGTCTTGCAAATGAGAGACATGGTGGGTGGGGGGGGACTAGAACTCCAGATGCATGGTGATGTGAATATTTATAAGGCTCTTTACAAACTTGATGTCTGAGTTAAAGAGGGCTCACTTTTTTGCCAACAAGAGGCAACTCAAGTTATGGGTGGATTATGTTGGATAATCCATGAAATGAAATGTAAGCGGGCTGAAAAACAAGACAGCGTGGTGGGTTCTGTGAAATCAATCAGGAGATGGGATTCCCGAGAGAGAGAAGATGGATATAGAAGAGGATTGGGTCGATGACAGAACCCTGTGGAATAGGTTTATGAGAAGGTAACCCTTGCACGGAGACGTACGAGTGCAGGTGTGAGGTGCCTGTGAGATGCCTGCATTATCCTGACGGTGTTTAAGGTGTTTAAGATGTTGAAGGTGTTTAACGAGGATTAAATTGTCTGTGGTGTCAAAGGCTGCAGTGAGGTAAAGGAGAAGAATGTGGAGGAGGAGGTGGGGGTCCAGGGTCAAAGGACTGGAGGAGGTTGTTGATGGAAATTGGATTTGTATGGAGTCGTGAACACCGCGCAGGGACATGCGTGGTCAGAGATCTGGGAACGGGTGATATTTCAAGGGTTTTTCAGGGGAGAAAAAGGTTCAGAGCTGGGATAAATTCGCTTGCATCCAACCGCAACTCAATCAGTGCAGATCAGAGATGTTGCTGGTCCTCCCCCCACGGTTCTTTTCCCCCACTTCTGCCTTTTCCACGAGTGGATATAACGTGCACCGTACAATGCTTCGATTCCACAGCGATGAGTGGAGCGCTATTGGCTGTTCCTATTTACAGCTATCCATGGGAAATGCACTCCTGTTATCCACAAGCCATGTGCAGATAAATGCGGATAATAGGATTAATATACCCCCACTCCCAAGTCAATCCTCTTTTCTGCGGAGAGTCCTGAACAGTGCGGATCAATTCGGTGCCTCCAAGGGACCCATCTCAGGATAAGCACGGGAAATAGGAAGGATCGATGTGCAGAGAAGGGTATTCTCAATGGACCGATTCAGGGGTGAGGATAATTGAGAGTGGATCGTAGAGGGACGGATAAGAGGAATTTCGTTGCATGTATGTTTTAAACTGTCTCGGTAGGGTTTAAAAGTCCCTTCACGTGGCCTCGACTGATCAACACCAGAACAAAAGAAGTGCGCTCGCGCTCCGTTTGACGGGGGCGGAGGGATACCGTTGCACGATCGCCTGACCCGTGCTTTGGCAGAACTGTTTGGTTGAATAGCCGGGGGGAATTTTTATGAATGTGTTTTTTTTTGCGTGCCAATACCCTTCTTCTTTGGTTGTTATTCGTTAAACAACCAAAACAAATATACAGAATAAGCCTTTCATCCAAGCTTGAATCCGATGGAAGTAGCTCGCTCAAACTTCCAAGTGTAAAATATCCAAATGTAAAATAGTAGATCCATCACCCCACGAGCATTGCGAACCAATGTTTTCTGGCAGTATTCTTTATGCATAAAATTCTGGCACAATTTCGACCTTCTATGTATGTACAGTGAGGGAAAAAAGTATTTGATCCCCTGCTGATTTTGTACGTTTGCCCACTGACAAAGAAATGATCAGTCTATAATTTTAATGGTAGGTTTATTTGAACAGTGAGAGACAGAATAACAACAAAAAATCCAGAAAAACGCATGTCAAAAATGTTGTAAATTGATTTGTATTTTAATGAGGGAAATAAGTATTTGACCCCCTCTCAATCAGAAAGATTTCTGGCTCCCAGGTGTCTTTTATACAGGTAACAAGCTGAGATTAGGAGCACACTCTTAAAGGGAGTGCTCCTAATCTCAGCTTGTTACCTGTATAAAAGACACCTGTCCACAGAAGCAATCAATCAATCAGATTCCAAACTCTCCACCATGGCCAAGACCAAAGAGCTCTCCAAGGATGTCAGGGACAAGATTGTAGACCTACACAAGGCTGGAATGGGCTACAAGACCATTGCCAAGCAGCTTGGTGAGAAGGTGACAACAGTTGGTGTGATTATTCGCAAATGGAAGAAACACAAAAGATGTCAATCTTGAAACTGTCAATCTCCCACGGCCTGGGGCTCCATGCAAGATCTTACCTCGTGGAGTTGCAATGATCATGAGAACGGTGAGGAATCAGCCCAGAACTACATGGGAGGATCTTGTCAATGATCTCAAGGCAGCTGGGACCATAGTCACCAACAAAACAATTGGTAACACACTATGCCGTGAAGGACTGAAATCCTGCAGCGCCCGCAAGGTCCCCCTGCTCAAGAAAGCACATACATGCCCGTCTGAAGTTTGCCAATAAACATCTGAATGATTCAGAGGACAACTGGGTGAAAGTGTTGTGGTAAGATGAGACCAAAATGGAGCTCTTTGGCATCAACTCAACTCGCCATGTTTGGAGGAGGAGGAATGCTGCCTATGACCCCAAGAACACCATCCCCACCGTCAAACATGGAGATGGAAACATTATGCTTTGGGGGTGTTTTTCTGCTAAGGGGACAGGACAACTTCACCGCATCAAAGGGACGATGGATGGGGCTATGGTCCGTCAAATCTGGGGTGAGAACCTCCTTCCGTTAGCCAGGGCATTGAAAATGGGTCGTAGATGGGTATTCCAGCATGATAATGACCCAAAACACACGGCCAAGGCAACAAAGGAGTGGCTCAAGAAGAAGCACATTAAGGTCCTGGAGTGGCCTAGCCAGTCTCCAGACCTTAATCCCATAGAAAATCTGTGGAGGGAGCTGAAGATTCGAGTTGCCAAACGTCAGCCTCAAAACATTAATGACTTGGAGAAGATCTGCAAAGAGGAGTGGGACAAAATCCCTGCTGAGATGTGTGCGTACCTGGTGGCCAACTACAAGAAACGTCTGACCTCCGTGATTGCCAACAAGGGTTTTGCCACCAAGTACTAAGTCATATTTTTCAGAGGGGTCAAATACTTATTTCCCTCATTAAAATGCAAATCAATTTATAACATTTTTGACATACGTTTTTCTGGATTTTGTTGTTGTTATTCTGTCTCTCACTGTTCAAATAAACTTACCATTCAAATTATAGACTGATCATTTGTCAGTGGGCAAACATACAAAATCAGCAGGGGATCAAATACTTTTTCCCTCACTGTATGTTAAACTTGTTTCACACCATTTCGATTTAAAGCTTTCGTGACTGCAAGGATCCATACTCTTTGGTTCTATTCGGTAAAGTCACGTAGGTAAAAAATAAAACAACAAAAATCACGACTTTTCGGCCAAAACACAAGCGGCCTTCATCAGGTGAAGGGACTAGACTGTCTCGAGGACAGCGCTGGAGTGAAACACAGCCACGCTCAGACCGCGACCTTTAAGCTGCGTGCGAGTCTCATCCGGTGGGTTGCTGCTTATTAAAAACACATGCTCCTAATTTCCCCAGGGATGTTCACCAAAGTACAGAAATACTGTTCAAAATCCAAGTGCAATTCGTCTAATCTTTTTATGCATTGCTTTGGTGTAAATTTCATGAAGGGGAATCTATTGTACACAGTTAAATAAATAAAAATATCGTACAAATCACAGCAAAGAAAGAAGAAAATCATACATCATGTGACACTGAGCATCTCTCTGAGCTAAGCACGAGGGTAGGTCCCAGGGGAGAGCTGCTGTTTAACACTGTCGGAGCGACGCAATATCATTTACATGTAATGCACACCGACGGAAATTACCCATGTTTTCCTCACAGCGGGAACCTGTACCTCCTCCGCATCTGCCGGGTGTGTGACTTGAAATTCAATCGTCGTTACCGTTCATTAATATATGTACCTTGAACTTCTTTCGCACCGTATGTAGCGAGTCGTGCTAATTGGAGGTGGCGGGGGAGAACAACAAACTAAACACAAAAAAGCAGTTCTAAAGAAAAGAGTTTTCAATTTAGCAGTGCATAGCTCCCACTTGCTTCCTAATATCGGAAGGAAGAGCGTTCCAGACGGCCACAGAAGCGCATCTGAAAGTGCACGGACGCAGTAACCGTGTGAATAGGATGGAACAAACTAGGTGGACAATCGTCAATTTAGGACTTTTTTTGTTCCACCAAATCCATCAAATTACGTGAATTGCGTCCATATAATCCATATCACCAATTGGCCATTGCTTAAGCATTTGGGAAAATAATGCTCATTGTGGTGGCCATCAAGAGGTCGTCAGGATTTAAGGTCGTAAAGCTTCAAACAGGGGCGCAGTACGACAGAGGAAAGTGTAAACGAATAAGAAAATGTGCAGTGGACACTGATGGGCAATCGTACTGAGGAAGGTGTAAACGAATAAGAAAATGTGCAGTGGACACTGATGGGCTATCTGCCCATGAACCGTGAGGATGATGGCGATGACGGGTCCGACACAACGCGGGTGGTGGGTGCCGCCATGATGACGAGGAGGGAGGAGGGGGGAGGAGGAGAAGGGGGGAGGAGGGGGAGCTGGGGGAGGAGGGCGATGAGGTAGGGGAGGAGGAGGAGATGGGGGGGGGGCCCTCACCGAGGTACTGGACGCTGAAGCCTTTCCGACGGTGGCTGCCATCGGACGTGAAGTGGAGTCTCAGCCAGTGTGTGTTGCTCGTGATGGGGGAAGGCAAGGTCATTCCGGTCAGCCTGAAAGCAACAGGGGACAACTCTTATAGGTTAGAAATGTGCTGCCACAAATTAGGGTTTCAATGGGTACACTTAAGAGATATTTGTTTTTAATGATGTTGGAAATTGCCCACTGTTTTATCTTTGTAATGGATTAATTTCTTTGTTTTGATATCTTTTTTCTTATTCTTAGTTTTTTCGGTAAAGTCACATTGAAGAGAAACAACGTGACTTTACCGAAAAAACTAAGAATATGAATTACTGCAGTCACGAAAGCTTTAAATCAAAATCTTTTTTCTTGTTTGTGCTTTTTGTTATGGTGCAATTTCTTAATAAAAATATATATATTTTTTGATGTTGCTTGTTAGCAGGGTTTTCATTTGCTTGGTGTGTATGTGAGTGTTGGGTTTCTTTCGCGTCGTACGTAACCAACCGCGTTTATAGTGTTTGGTCCTTCTATATAATTAACTAGCATTAAGTACCCGGCGTTGCCCGGGTAAAAATCCATTTCAAAACTTCTCTTAAAAACCTTACATATACATACACAGATATGTGTATGTATATAAAAGACACCTGGGATCCAGAAATCTTTCTGATTGAGAGGGGGTTAAATACTTAGTTCCCTCATTATAATGCAAATCAATTTATAACATTTTGACATGCGTTTTTCTGGATTTTGTTGTTGTTATTCTGTCTCTCGCTGTTCAAATAAACCTACCATTAAAATTATAGACTGATCATATCTTTGTCAGTGGGCAAATGTACAAAATCAGCAGGGGATCAAATACTTTTTTCCCTCACTGTTCCTGCTATGATAACAGCAGTGCATATTGTGGTGGTACCTGCTATGATTACAGCAGTGCATACTGACTGTGGTGGTATCTGCTATGACTACAGCAGTGCATACTGCTGTGGTGGTACCTGCTATGATTACAGCAGTGCATACTGCTGTGGTGGTACCTGCTATGACTACAGCAGTGCATACTGCTGTGGTGGTACCTGCTATGATTACAGCAGTGCATACTAATGTGGTGGTACCTGCTATTACAGCAGTGCATGCTGACTGGTGGTATCCTGCTATGACTACAGCATTGCATGCTGACTGTGGTGGTATCCTGCTATGACTACAGCAGTGCATACCGACTATGGTGGTTCCTGCTATAATTACAGCTTTCACTACAGTAGTACATACTATCTTATATATGAAAGGGAAATTTATGAATGTGTCTGTTCGAAATGTTTAGCATACTTGTCGACATGCAACAACTTAATTATTCATACACTCACTCACACTACCACTGACTCACACATACATACTCACACTACCACTGACTCACTCACACATCATACACTCACTCACACTACCACTGACTCACTCATCATACACTCACACTACCACTGACTCACTCACACATCATACACTCACTCACACTACCACTGACTCACTCACACATACACTTACTCACACTACCACTGACTCACACATACATACACTCACTCAGACTACCACTGACTCACACATACATACACTCACACTACCACTGACTCACTCACATCATACACTCACTCACACTACCACTGACTCACTCATCATACACTCACACTACCACTGACTCACACATCATACACTCACTCACACTACCACTGACTCACTCATCATACACTCACTCACACTACCACTGACTCACTCACACATCATACACTCACTCAGACTACCACTGACTCACACATACATACACTCACACTACCACTGACTCACTCACATCATACACTCACTCACACTACCACTGACTCACTCATCATACACTCACACTACCACTGACTCACTCACACATCATACACTCACTCACACTACCACTGACTCACTCATCATACACTCACACTACCACTGACTCACTCACACATCATACACTCACTCACACTACCACTGACTCACTCATCATACACTCACTCAGACTACCACTGACTCACTCACATCATACACTCACTCACACTACCACTGACTCACTCACACATACACTCACTCACACTACCACTGACTCACACATACATACACTCACACTACCACTGACTCACTCACACATCATACACTCACTCACACTACCACTGACTCACACATCATACACTGGGAGTGTCATGCTGCCAGCTATGGCTGCTAGTTTGGTCGCACATGTTATTTATATCGTTTATCTAACCTAGAAAACATATGGATAATCTATCTTATGGTTGTTATTTTTGACTTGCATCACACTGGGATTTGAGCACACATAGTTGTAATACGGTTTTTTGTTAATATTTGCTGGTTTATCCAGGCTGTTTCTGTTGTCGTCGCTTCAAGACGATTCTAAAGAATTCTACAACCTTCGATTTCTTTGCGCGATTTAAAGAATCGATTCTTGGCGCGCTCGGGTTTTATTTTATAAGAATGAGTTATCTTTTCATTTGTATGTTATGTTTGAAAGTTTGCAGACGTTTTTAAATATGTATTTTCCCGCTACTAGCAGTATATAGATATCGACTCTATAGCACAAAGTACTCACTTGACAGAGTGCCGTGACGAGGCCTAGTCCCGTGCAGAGCCCCCGGCCTCGCCTAGATTGCTCGGCCTACCGAGGCTGGGGCCTGGGCCGCTACCCCCCCCCCCACGCGCTTGTATCTACCGACCCTATGATAGTAAGTGCACCCATGGGATTGGAGGGGGAGAGAAGAGGACGTGACACTTTGATGAATTTACGTCAGCGTTGCGTGCTATGTTTGTGCATTTTGAACGCGAATGAGAAATGGCCGCCACCCTCCGGCGTCTCTGCATTGCCAGGGGCAACAACTCGCGTCTGCGTTTCGCGCATGCGCAGAAGCGAGCCGGTTGGCAAAAATAAATAAATATTGATCGCACCAAAACGCGATTTTAACCACTTTAAAGTTTAGGGATGGGAAAACGGAATAGCCTATGCCAAGCATGGGGCCTACGGCGTGGTACCCGGCACATTTTTTTTCGGCCTAAACCCCGTGGTCTGAGAGCCAAATCCCCCGCAAGCGAGCGTACGCAGACAGAGGGACAGGCAGACAGACAAAAAATGCCTTTTATAGGTTAGAAGATGTACAGCGTTGTGAGATGCTGTTGGCACGAATGACATCGCTATATAAGATATTTTTAAAATAATTTTTCACTTTAAAAACATGTTGTCTTTTTCATCCATTAGTGTGCAATACATAGAGAGCATGTCAATAACATATGTAGGAGTCGCACTGCATTGCAGATGTAATTGACATTAGAGTGCACATAATTTTGCAGCTGGTGAAATGTGATCATGTATCCTGTAAAGTAATACATATGGATGAGAATCATTGTTGAAACAACTTGTAATGATATGTACTTAAGTAGAACTAGCATTGCTGGAGGCAGTGTAAATGAGGGGCCATAACAGCCAAAGATAGATGTGACGGTAAAACACGAGCAGCAATCAATTGAAGTATTTCCCTGCAACCGGCTTCCCTTTCCACACATAGCCGCGCAATGCGAAACTAGATCTCAGAATGAAAAAAACGTGTATATGACAGAATTCATATTCTTTGGGTCTTTCGGTAAAGTCACGTAGATTGGTTCAAAGAAAATAACAAAAAATAACAAAAAAACAACGACGTTTCGATCACAACACAAGCGATCGTCATCAGGAGGGTACACCAATTTTAAACCTTTAACACAGTCTGCCTCAGCAGCTTTCCCCCTCTGTTTTGCCTCCGGATGACGATCACTTGTGTTGTGAAAGACGCGTCATAGTTTTTTTTATATTTTCTTTGAACCTATCTACGTGACTTTTACCGAAAAACCCTAAGAATATGAATTCCTGCAGTCACGAAAGCTTTAAGTCGAAATATGACAGAATATTTATATATTTTTAAATATTTGACAGTATTTACTTTCGATCCCAACATTATCGTGCCATTGGCATCACATCATGAGGCAAAGTGTACTCTCGGATCTCTCGCAGAGCAGTGCAACCCTTGATGCGAGAGAACGGCCCACGGAAGCGGATATCACAGAGCTACCCCTAAGATTACTTCAGGTGACCAACTCTTCAACAGAGTAGGGGGCATCACTATTCCGCCCGCTCTGCCCTATGAGAGGAATGTTTTTTTAACTGCAGTCAAACTGTACTTTTAACTCTCAGTGCTGGAATTTTGCCAATTAACCCTCTCCCGCTCAGAGACATCTGCCAGTTTCAGGGTTGTGTGTCCCGCTCACCGCTGAATCTCAGAACACGCAGTCGGTTCAGCGTTAATTTTATTTTCGAGAGGTGGTGCGCCGCTGTTTTTCAAGACATTGCTACTCGCCGCAGAGAACTGAGGCGACACGACCGCCGCACTCTGCGATGTGCCACACACCCTTCCGCATGGCCTTGTGGGAGCCTCGGTACCGATAAAGTTATTTTATTGAACGTCATCAGAACGTAATCAAAAGGGAAACTGAAGACGTACACATACACTATCAGAATAAGAAAGGGGTAAGTGCGGGACCTAATTGAATGTGACCGGTTGTTTTTCTGTGTTAGTGCAAGTGTGGTAGCGACCTTCAACTCGCTACCACACTTGAGAACCCAGCTTCATCAGAGGTGGCGCCCGGATTCGATCCCAGGATCTCATCGGTCGGTACCAGCTCAAACGCTCTGACCTCAGAGCCACCCGGCAACCCCTTAATTTATGGAAACTCAAAATGTAGTTTTGAATAATATTACTTTTCAAAGTTTGGTTCACGTTATTATTTTTTGTTCACGTTGAAATGAACAGGGCGAAATATTTATTTTAAGAAACCCGAGAAGGGACACGTTAATTTATATATAACGTACTCTTTGTGTCTCTCGGTAAAGTCACGTAGATAGAGAAATAATATTCCCCATCTCAGGCCTCTATAACACCCTGCTGCTTCAGCAGCTCTCTTGCTATATTTTTTCACCTGAGGACGATTGCTCGTGTTGTGATCGAAACGTCGTGATTTTTTTATTATTATTTCTCTATCTACGTGA